GACGCCCTCGTCACGGATCGGCTCCACCGTGGGTCCCACTGGACCATGGAGAGTCCACACATTTGGCAAGCAGTAACCTGCTCTGATACCATTTGTCACCTCCCAAAAGAGCCCTTGTGGGTGGTGGATAGCCCGGGACTTAAATACTGTTTTTCGGCTCTACACCTAGCCGATGTGGGACTATTTGTCCGTGACAGACGGCTTCTTTAGATTTCACGAAAAAAGGTATAAATTCCCTTTAGAGTTACAATACAACGTGTGTGTGTGTGTGACGTACAATATGTAATTACAAAATTACCCTTGTACCTTACCGCGGGACGTTCCCACTTCGTTCCGCTCGCTCGCTCTGTTCCACTCCAGCATATATCCCTTATCTGGAACATGAGCCATACTGAACAGGTACATTAAAATATATGGATATTTACATACATAACATGCAATTCTTATGCATTTATTTATCTCACACACTCAAATTTTGATTTTTACACCGTAAGAGCACTAACCTATGTATGAAAATGTGGATTACACTATTTCCACCTTTTCATACACAGAAAAATGTGCTTTAGATATATAAATTAAGGTTTATGAGATAAGTGAATGCTTATGAATTGGGTGCTGTGTATGTAAATTCCCCTAAAATTTAATCAAACTATCTCTACATTCAAGTTTTACATATCTATTTTACTACCCAAAATTGTCATTATCATAAATAGGTCATGTATTTAATTCCAAATAATTTGATGGTCTCCATGCTTTGAACTTGCGGCCATCATATCATGCTCAGAGCTATCCATTTAAACATTTCGACGAATTGATAGAATGATTTGACAATTTTAAAAATTCATGAAATTATGCATTGTTTTAGTTCTGATGATATTAGAACAATCAATGTCATGTATCTTACATTTAGAAGTTGTATCATAGAAATCTAAATAGGAGCAGAGTAGTGTTTGTTTTTCCTCGTAGAAGCATAAATTGATATGTTTTGGTCAGTTTTGTGTGAGTTACCCTACTAAGATATAGATCTAGATATACTCTTAAAGAGTACAGATAAAAATAGGTGACATTTTCTTAACCAACTGATCAGATTATATTGATATAGATATTCTCTTAAATTGGATAAAGATACCTGCTAATCAGTTATCCGACTCCATGAAGATAAAAAATAAAGTACCCAAATACGACAAAGGGATGGATAGGATGAGAACTAGAATATAATTTTGGATCACAATCGTATAAATACTTATGCTTCATACGAAGAAATTCTTAGTCATCTTATGAAATCCGTCCCTTTCCAGACTGGATGCATCTGTTATAATAAATAATTATATCTCTTCCATTATTTCACTTTCACCTAATGGGCAGTTTTTTTTTTTTTTTTCCTCTTATCAATTCAACACGTTCCTCATTTCATCAATGTATTTGATTGTGGCACATGTAAATGAATCAGTTTGGTTGATCACAAAATCACCTGCGTGCTGGATTTGTAAATAGCAAGTGCTTTGTATGTAATTCTCCTAAAAAATAAATGGAAACGGCTGAAAAATAAATACCATAATGGCATACAATTTATTGAAGCTGTATGAGTTGGAAGTATTTAGTTTAAGAAGTACCATATTCAAATATTTTCAGGTTATGAAGGATGGAAAGATCGTACAGTCTGGGAAGTACGAAGAGTTAATAGCCAGTGTTGATGGTGAGCTCGTGCGACTAATTGCAGCACATAAGAAGTCACTAAACCAAGTTATTCCGCATATGGAGCATAACCTTGCAGCAATAAAACCATATAGGAAAATTGATTTTGAGTTAACTGAAGAGAAACCTATCAATCAGATAAGAAATAGTGAATCCTTGTACCGTACTCATGAGGAAGAGAGGGAATCTGGACGGGTTAAATATAGCATTTACCGCACATTTGTGACTTCATCATATAAGGGAGCACTAGTTCCAGTAATTCTGTTTTGTCAAATTCTCTTCCAGGGACTGCAGATGGCCAGCAATTACTGGATTGCCTGGGCAACCGAAAAGAATGATAGAATAAGCAGGGGAAAGTTGATAGGAATATTTGTTCTACTGTCTGCAGGTAGCTCTCTTTTTATGCTGGGGAGGGCAGTGTTACTGGCAACAATAGCAATTGAGACGGCACAATGTATTTTCCTTAAAATGACTACAAAACTTTTCCGGGCTCCCATCTTCTTTTTCGATTCAACGCCTACAAGTCGAATCATTAATAGGGTAAGGTTTCTAAATCGTGGAAATTAAAACAATCGAGCTCTTCTTATAAATTTTCTAGTTTATAGTTATAGTTTTTTGTTTTTCAGACTTCTACAGACCAAAGTATACTGGATACAGACATTCCATACAGACTAGCTGGATTGGTATTTGCGCTTGTGCAGCTCATTTGCATCATAATTCTAATGTGCCAAGTTTCCTGGACAGTATTCGTTCTTTTTATTATTGTACTTGCTGTCTCCGTGTGGTACCAAGTAAGAATAAATTCTTTGGTGCCGTTGGGATTCTTTTTCTGTTTTTATTTTTTTTCTTTTTTTATTATTATTATTTTTTTAATTTTATTTTATATAAAACAAAATGCATATTTGATAACACTTGAGATTTTTTTGTTTTTAGACATGAAAAACCAAAACAAAAAAAATATAATTATCCCCTCCACCTCAACCACCACCACCTCCTACTCTTTTTTTATTATTATTATTATTATTTTTTTTTATTTGGGAAGGTTTACATTCATAACATTCAATTCTTATGTATTTACATTTATGACGTCTAAATTTTAAATTTTAAATCTATGTTATGTATGCATGAAAACGTGTATTGTATTCCTTTCAAAGCTAAATGGTAAAACTTTTTATGTAATATCAAAAATTTGAGTGGTATAATTATAAAAATTGCATTTTAGGTATTAATTATATAAATACATAAGAAATAGGTGGCATGCATGTAAATGTCCCTTTTATTTCATTGTTTCATTTTTTACAATATCCCTAAATGTGATTGTCTTCAATTATTTAATATGTCCATAAGTTACTTAACAAATGTTAAGTGCCAACTATCTCTTAAATCTATGAAGAGAAATTACTATTATAATATAACAATTCATAAATTCTATATCAGTTTTTAGATTCACAGGCATTATTCAAAGCATAATCTAATAACTGTTAATTGGCCGCTGCACAAAGCAGATCAAGGGATGTCTTTGACTTTATTGACGTCAGCGTCCACGAAAACACCGGGGTCAAGATGGAAAAAAATATTACATTAGGACTTCGTAC